AAACCCCTTTTGTACTTTCTTTGTTACTGCTGTGAAGGTAGTGATGACTGTTCAACAAGTGTGTTTTAATCTCCTCAGATTGAAGTCTTGGAAAATGTTTTTAAAATGAACTCCTACCCTGGCATTGACATTAGAGAAGAACTAGCTCGCAAATTAGATTTAGATGAAGACAGAATCCAGGTAATTAAAAATTGACTTCAACTTTCCTCTAATCCCATCTATATGTACTTTCTGTTTATATATATATATGTATATATATAGTTTGACAACAGTAGCAATGACTTTTAATAACCTCAATTTAACACAGTGTACATTTATACATGTGTTATGCCTTGAATGATTTGTAAAATGGAAGCCATTGAATTCCTTCTGAAATCTCAAACCTTCTTCCATAGTGTTGATGAGGTATTCTTCACTAACATTTCCATGATATCTGCTCTGTTAATTTCTAGTTATCATGTGCAGAGCTTGATAGTTGCTTCCACGTTTTAAAATCATATTTATATTATGCTTGTCACCATATTCAAAGAACAAATTTGAAACAAATATTGAGATAATTTATATGAATGTCTAAGTATTTTGTGAGACTGTTAATGGAGCATGCATGTGTTAAACCAATATTTGAGCCTATGTCTTCAGCTGGCAAAGGCAAAATCTACTCAGGGTAGATTGAAATCAAATTACTGATTTCCAGGTAGTCTAATGCGATATGAAGCATACCATGAGCACTAGAATTTGGGTGTCACCTTGATGTTTATTAAGTTTTTGATTCAAGTATTATATTTGGGTTGATGGGAAGCTTAATGCTGTGATTAATTAAGCAGCTGAAGAAATAACACCTTAAGACTTGTATGTGAATTCTGGATGTTCAAGTTCTTACAGGGTCTAATTCAGTGTCACTGAAGTTAATATTAGTTTTTATATTATTTACAGTGAAACTGGTCCCCACTTTATAGTTGAGCTGGGGTATTTTCATCTGTGGTGTTAAAATTATTGCTGGTAGCTATATGCCATCATCTGCAGATTTTAAATTTGACTGAACTTCCAAACTACTGTCATTGCAAAAGATATGGTGAAGTTGTGTGAATATTTTTAAGTTTCAAAGCTTATTCTGCTTACAGTGCTGTGTTTTTGAAAAGCATGCCTTTTCTTTCAATTTTAGATCTGGTTCCAGAACCGTCGTGCAAAACTGAAAAGATCGCACAGAGAATCTCGGTTTCTAATGGTGAAAAATACTTTCACCTCCAGTCTGCTAGAGTAGAAGGAAGGATGGCTTGCTGTTACGGTACTACAATAAAACATGAAAAATTTTATGGTACTACAATAAAACATGAAGAATTATCAGGATTTTCATAACTTGTATTAAGTAATGATATATTAATTATAATTTTATCCCCATATTGGAAAGTTTATAATAATTTTCATTTGAATAAACTGTAAATACTTGGAGGATGATTATAATCTACTCTTTTTTGTGGAAAAAGTGAACTTACCTAATAAATATTTTCAGAAAAGTATATATATTTTTGCAGTTTAAAAAAATATAAACCCCAAGTTGCATATGATTTTCAGCTAATATGAATGACCGCAGCTTAAGTGAATATAACTTAGCAAAGCTTCATGGTTTTAAAAATACGTCTGCTTGAAATCTGAAATACACGATATGCATACTGGAGTTTGCTGCCTGAAAAAGTGTGTTCCATTGTAGTTTAAATAGTTTATTTATAAAGTGTATGAGAGTTTTCATAAAGAGTATAATTTTTAGAAAAAAGTGTCTCATATGAAGAACTAGTATTCAACTCACTTCTCTGTTTGGATAATTGGTTAAAAGATGCTGAAAATCGTAATTGCCGTTGATATAATTTAACTCAATTCTTTTAAGATATTTACCTATTTAATACCTGAACTTGGATATCTCCTCTCTTGTCAGCATAAGTGTTACAGTTAGGGAAGTTGCCCTATTATCTTTTAATGACAGAATGCAACATTTCACAGGATCAAGTCAGTTGGGACCAGACCAGACATCCAGATCATTGCCATTAATTTTTAGAGTGTTGAAATAGTTTTTATCAAACATTACATGAAAGTTATCCTCATATTTGATATTCAGCCTGAAGTAAGTATACATAAGGAGAGCCTTGTACAAAAAAGCCCAACTCTTCATGACCACAATATAGGAAAAGATTGTGAGGATGTTCAGATCTTGGCTCTCTCTGGTCCCAGTGGCAGAGGCAGAGGAGAGGGTAGCTGCAGCCCAGGCTCACGACAGGAGAGGTTTTTACCTCTCCAACCACTTTCCTTGCCCCTTGCTTGGGAACAGGGCGAGGGCAGTTGAGCTCCATGTGACAGGCTGAGCACAAGTTTGTTGTTTCAAGGGGCACAAAGCATTTGCGCCGCAGGTTTGAAATAGAAGCCAAGCAAGATGCGGTGAAGGTGAGAGAAAGCTGCAGGTTGGTACTTGGTTTTACACTGTTCCTTGTTCAGCAGAATTTTAAGCACTCACTTGAAGTTGCTGGTGTCCTTCAGTGAGACTTCAGCCTGTGTTTCTTACTCTAGAGATAAATTCTATGTGGGCCCAGCTGTATATACAAAAAATAGTTTTGTATTAGGCTGATACAGCAGCACTGACTTTAAATGATGTTTCAATCTGTAAATATGAAAGAACCAGCAAATCTCAGATAATTTTCAGCTACAGCTTTGTTAATTGGGTTTTCCTCACTTGCCTGACTTTATTTTGAAACAAAACTATATAGTAGTCAAAAAACCTGAACTGAATCATTTTACGTTTTAAAGAAAAAAAGGTCATAAGGAAAAATTTTGAAAACTGGGGAGAACAAATTATGTGAGTGCTTATGACATTCCAACTCTTTTTATCTAATTCTTAGTATAGCTCTTAGCCTAACTGTCCCTCATTGAAGGAATGCCTAGCCACTGTGTTACGAGATTGCTTTCCAGATTCCTTGTGGAAACAGTTTTGCTTTGTATCAAGTACTCCAATACTCATTAGTGGGAGAATTTGAGCCAAAATCTACATACCTTAGCCACGAGGCTCATTTGCAGTCTGACACTGGCTTCTGTGAAGTCACTTAGGACGCTGAGGACATAGAAGTCCGTGTATCATTGTTAATGTAGGCTAAATGTAAATAGCAAAAAGGTGAAAAAGAATTGTAGATTCTTCTAGTGTTTTAGTGGTGCAAATATAATTAGATTGATCTTCAGTTGCACTTTCTTGTTTAATAAAACAACAAGAGATTTGTGTGTTTTTTCTGGCATGTTACTTTCGATGTAGTATAGTGTCTAGAAGAGCTAAGTGCTTAAAATTTTAAAGACCTGTCTCTACTGCTTCCAGACAGTTTGATTTCTGTATCTGTTCTAACATGCTCTGCTTTTCCTTCAGTTTGTTTTCTTTCTTAGGACATCTCTATGCATTTCAGTTGTTATAATGGATGACTTAATGTAGTTTTGCTGAATATTTGCAAGGTAATGCAAAATGCAGTTAGCTTAAGATTTTACAGGATAACATTGTACCTGTTATATCATGAACAAACCAAGTATGGGTCTTCTTTCTCGATGTTTGTATCTGTATCTCCTGTCCTATATAATGAGAGGTAAGTTTGAGAAAAAGGGTGATAGAAAGCACTTAATTTTATGTAGTCTGATATTAAGAAAGGCTGAAGGGAAGGATGATCTGACTTCAGTCCTTAGTTGATGTTTTGGATGGCAAGCTGAGATATAAGAGTTTAAATAAATAGAATTTCTATGTTTTCTGAAAACTTATGACTGAAACGCCACATTATTTCAGAACCAGAGTACAGGTATTTGCCATTTTGTGTCTTCTGACCGCATGGACTCGATGCCTTCATTTTTGTAGAATCACTAAAATTGTTTAACTTTGCTCCTGGAAATGATATTTTAGTGTGAAAATAACAAAATTTTATGCAATATTGAAATGTTAATTGTTGATGCCTTGTTGGATTCAGGAAGTAACGTTACTAACTAAACTGCTGTTATATCCTACATCCAGAAATGCTTTATTTGTCAATGTTCTCTTAAGTAATTTAAATGGAGCCAAAGCCATCAGGAATACTTTTTAAAGAAACAAATCTCAGTTTGGATACCTTCTTGAGCTGGTAAAGACAACATTGGGAATTGCATGAGTTGTATTTTGTTCTTCTTCTGACCTCAAAACGTATATTGCCCATAGCTTAACCTTTTTGCAGGTAATTTGAAACTATTGTCTACTTTACTGCTGGAAACAAGGTTTCCAGCAGCAACAGATTAGACTAATCTGTACAGATGAATGCCTAAGAACCTTACCCTATTATCTGGTAAATACCTAAATACACCTAATGTCTCTTATAATGGAACCTGTCTCAAGTGACGGAAGTCTGACAAAGCAATTTAAGAGAAGAAGTAGAATAGTTGTGGAATAATAATAGCACCAGCCCTGGTATCCAGCTCTCAATTAGCAAACCTTACCAGAAGGATGATTGGTGTGGGGTACTGAGCGTCACCTGTAGGGCTGAGGGGAAAGAAGTTTCATAGTGTAATTGCATGATTTGCTTCATCTTGGTTTAGCTTGTTCTTTCCAAAGTAGATGCATCAAGAAGTTGAAGGAAAACCTCTAACTTGACACTTGTGTCTACTTTGACCAGCATGGGTTTAAGTTGTCGCCATCACTTTCTCAGAAACAGCTGATTTTTTTTCCCCTATCTTTAAAAGTATTAGCCTGGACTTCACAGGACTTTCTAATCTTGTCCTTGCTGATACGTGCCTTTCCGGCTACCCAGGTGATACACGTAATGTGCTGTGTTACCTGTCTAGGCACAGCCAGTCCAAGTAACAAGAGTGGATGAAGCTCTCAGCAGGGGCTCCATGCATGCTGAAATCTGGTACCACTCCAGTTCTGGTTACTTTGCCCTGCAGTGTTTCTGTTTGTTTTCTGAACTGTGATCAGAAGAGCCTCAATCTTCTTGGTTCCTCTTCTGACTGAAGCCACGTGAAGCCGCAGCCTTCTTTACTTCCAGCCATGTTGCCTTCCGCTGGCTCCAGTGATAAGGTCATAAATTTACTTGGATGGTGAAAAACTATTCTGGCCAAAATACTGACTAGTTCTAAGTCTTCTCATTCTTAATATTGCAAGCTGTTAAGTCAAAGTCCTTCCACAGCTATGTCAGGCTACGGTCACATTTGTAACTGTCTTCTGTCATTGACTGCAATGGCACTTAAACGTTCTAGCAGGGCTGTTCTGCAACAGGTCCACTGCCTGTGACCCTAATCAGGATGCTGGGCTGTATAAGTAATTGTTTTAAATTGATATTCTTCTATTAAGCAGTGTTTTTATCTTAAATTTTTTTTCTAACCACAGACTTCAGCAATGCCCAATTGCTGCCCAAAAAGATGAACTATGCTCATGATCTGAAAGCAGATTCAAATTAATTTATACCGAACAGCCAATGCTTCCAAAGCTCCATTGTAGTATTATTACTTGTGGCATACATAAAAGTGTAGTGTGAAACTTTATCTTTAAATTACTAATATTAGCAGTGAAAGGCCAGATTTAGAACCATTCATCAAACTGTCACTTACAACTTTGAATTTGCAGTTTAGTTCATCAAGTCTGTGCTTACAAATAGCAGGCTAGCAAACCAGAAAACTGTATGTTATAATTTTGCTTGACTCCATGGGTGCATCTACATTTTTCTAGTTGTTCTAAGTTTTGTACTGGAAATACTTCTAAAGGAAAAAGAGACAAGACTTTTGTAGTTGTATGTAAGATTAAGACTGTGTTGATATTAAAAGGAATGTGGCATTGAAAATCATCCAGCATTTATGCAACTGGATTTAACAAAAGGCTTGTACAAAAGTAGTGTAAAATTATTTGCAGACACTTTCAGTTTACCTAGCATGAAATTAAGCTAACTTTAAACAGTTGAGATTAACTCTTAAGGTTAACTAGTAATCATACAATCAAAGCTTTTTAGAAATTAAACTTTTATTTTTTTAATTCCTTGGATTGACTTAGTTTCCCTATCAGTTGTTAGGTTGATGCTCCTTGTTCCTTCTTTTTAAAGGGCATAATTACATAATAATGTAAAGGGCATATTACATAATTGCATGGGAAATATAAGGCATTTTATTTTCAAAAATGCTTTTGAACAATGGTAGTTTACCTACATTATTATTTAATGTCCTATTGTTCATGTCACAGGTTAATCTTCACTCCAAATCATCTTGTTACTCATTAGAGCCGTTTAGTGTATCTCATATACTTAGGT